ATTGACGGGAAGACATTTTTTTGAAACACTGGTTTATGAGATGGGTTATGGGCTCGACCAGTATAGGGAAATTTCAGCAAGAGTTTATGTGGTATACCTTTCGGTCCCGCACATTTTCTCTTACTTAAGATTTTCCCAAACATTTCAGCAACCACGTCTGGAGTAAGCTGATCAAATTCAAATGTCGCCGTATCAGCCTCCTTCGGGATGACAGCCACGGGGTGCCGTTTACCGTGCTCCCCCATTGTAGCGAAATGTTTGTTTAAATTATTTAAATCGAAGTCCAGATTACCATTTTCGTTGTTCTTTCCTCGCAAACGGTTAATTTCGCGCCACATTATTTTTGAATTTTGTACATTTTGTTCGAAATAGATTCGCTTAGCGTTCTTAATCTCCGTAAATAATTCTCGCTTCAAGTTCTTAAATTGTTGACAATTGCCTTGATACTCAGAGGCACTTTTCGACAACTTCTTCCGCTTGTATGCGAGATTTTTATTTTATCAGACGTTTAATGCGACCGTTAATCCAAGGTGCACTGCTATTCGAGGCTCTTTTCGATCGTAACGGATAGCACCTGTTAATTATTTCAGCTAAACCACCAACAAATTTTCCGCAGTCTTCTGGTTGGGGACAGACTCCAGAGAAGGCTGAGCAGTCTTAGACGCAGAGGAAGTAGCAGCAGCTGGTTTCACGGCGGATGTCTTCGGCAGTTCGGGCTTGCGAGTCGACTGAACTTTTAAAGTCCGAAGTTCTTCTGCTGTTATCTTCACCGGCTGATGGGATGGAGGACGTGAGTCAGATACTCCTGAGGATTCTGACGATTCCGATGAAGAAGGAGAGGGAGAACGCTTACGGGATCTTCCGCGTCCCATGGATCCGGGAAATTCAGGACAGGAGACCCAGGAGCGCCATACAACGAGACTCTCAAGTCTCTCAACGAGGATTGCTTGTTAGACGGTCCTCGAGACCAAAAGGACTGTTCTGTGCTGTTGGTATTGCACGGGATAGGGAAAGGTCAAACAAACTCAATCACACAGCCACTGGCTCACAACTTTACTTCGTAATCAGCAAACACATTAGCAAAATTAATTACCGTCACGTAAGACGGAGAAACTCAATTAAAATTAATACCACATCAGACAGTTAACCGCAGCATCTCAAACACCTGTAATCAGTGTGGTCAGCCACACTGATCAAAACCACACATGTCACGCTGAACGCTTCAATATCTACTTTCTTTCAGCTTATTCATTACAACATTTTTTTAGTAATTGCTGCCCTTTCTGGTAGAAAACTCTCGTATCAATATGATTAAATTATTTTAGCAGAGTACACACCTTTTCTGCCAAGCTGTTTCTGGTAGTCACTAATCTACCGTCGGCGTCCTGGTGTGCCTTTGAAGACATTTAGGTATGAAATAGGAATACCATTTCCGGTCACCATGTGTGCGCAGACCGGCCGTGGGCATAGTGTATGGTCTTTCTTGTACCATGTGCTAAGCTGCACCTATCAGGAAAATGCATCTCATTGCGCATTGGCAGAACGGAGCGTAGCTCTTCGGGATGAAGGCGAAAATACAGCAACGTCCTCGTACTGGTTGCCGTGTTCGCGCAACTTACGTATAGGAAATGTTTTTAAACTTATTTTGCACAAGACTTGCATCACGAACAGTTCAATTCTGGACCACGGGCAGCAAGGCAAACTCAAGTGGGGACATTGTAGCTCTTTAAGTGCGGGTTGTTATGGTAGTCCACCTTTCCCTAAAGTTCATCAACCTTTCTGCAAAGGTCATCCACCTTTCTGTAAAGGTCATTAACCTTTCTGTGAAGGTCATCATTCTGTCATGGGTTATTTACGTTGGAACCAGTTGCATTCAGTTTTAGCTTCGACCATCAAACGGTAAATGCGCGGAAATGCTTGTAATGCAATCGTACAACGCTTTTGCAAGCCATTCATTTACTGATGGCAGCAGATTTGATATTCATTAATAACGGCGCAAAATATTTTGAAAAGTCTGTCAATTTCGCAAGATTGAAGTGCTCTGTACAGAAATCAGTATCTAGACAGGAATCAGTATGTACAATAATCAGTATCTTGTTCAAGGTTTCGTCAATTATTGAACGACTTCCAACAGCGTTAGATGACTCTAGCAACCATATTTCTGCGCATTTATCGGTTGCTGAACGAAGGAAAAAGTAAATAAGGTTATATCGAACAAAAATGACCTTAGACAAAAAGGTTGATGACATTTGCAGAAAGGTGGATGACCTTTTGCAGAAAGGTGAATGACCTTTGCAGAATGGTGAATTAACTCTGAAGAAAGGATTATTAGCATGACAACACTCGGTGTTAGTTGTACAACTTCCGCACATGAGTTTGCTTTGCTGTTTTTGCTCCAGAACTGCACTGTTCGTGATACTAGTAGAATCAATCCTAGTGCACAAAAAGTGTGCTAAACTGTTACTGACAAACTGTATAAGTTGCGCGAACACGGCAACCCGAACGAAGAAGTTGCCGTATTTTCGCCTTCAACTCGAAAAGCTGCGCTCCGTTTACAATTAGGTGCATGTTCTTGATGGCTGGAACAGCAATAATATGCAGCATATGATAATTATAATACAAGTCACACCCTACAGTACAGATACGGCTACGGCCGCTCCCAGCATAATATGACGGGAACTGGTATTCATATGGCAGAATAAGTCCAAATGCACACCATGACGCCGACTTTGGATCAGTCATTAGCGGATTCCTTAAACCGTTTGGGAGAAAAGTTGTATGCGAGCGATAGAAAGATTAAATCATATTGGTACGAGAGTTACAAGTATTTACCAGATAAGGTGGAAATGACTAAAAACTCAGTTGCGCTAATTGACCTTTATACAGAATATAAGAAGGTGGAAAGTTAACATAGTCGACTAACAGATGGGTTACCTTCGGCCACAACCTCAGAAACCACAACAAATCAGATTTAAAAATAGAAAACTATCAGAGCTCTGTCATTGTGCTCTCAAAACAAATATCTTTCATTGCAAAGAATTAAAAAATAGCAAAGAACAGTAAAACATCTCAAATGTTGGTAGCAGCAGAGGGAAATCAAAACATTTTTGCATGGAGCAAAGTCTGTATATTAGGCTTGCATTTTTCCGTACACCAGACTCTGTGGTCTCACTTCATCTAGCGGATACAGTACCGTCGCCTTTATCCGTTGCATAGTATATATACTGGCGTGTAATGCTTTACCGTCTCTGGACTTTATTGGTGTTTTACCGCACTTACACAGTTTGTTAAATAATACAGTGTCAGACTTGAGCATTGTAAACGAAGTTCTGTGTTAACACAGAAAATTAGTGATTTATATTGAATAATTCTTTTATGCTAAAACTAACGTTAGTTTTAGCATAAATTCAATAAAAATCACTAATTTGTCCTTCGCGCGAAGGAGGTCGTCCTACAGTTTGGCCACGCCCACCGTTATACCGGTGTCCTGACCCAGGAGTGGCATCAAGCTAATGGTGTGCAGTGCACCCTGAAGGGCCAATGGATGGCCAAGTCAACAGGTTTGACGTCCTTGGACTACGTCAATAAACGGGAATTAAAAACGAATTTTATGTGGGAGGAGCGAAACCGCGATAGCTGGACTGCAGCGCATTTCGAAAGTGGTCTGCTCTAGTTTAAAAATTTCTATAATTCGTACCAAGCTCAAATCTTGGAAACCGCAGTTGTAAATGGTGTTGGATAGATTAAATATTCATATAGAAGGTAAAAAAAATTAAATATATTGTCTAGTGGTTCATGGGAATTTTTGAAATGGACACCACCAACTTTGTGGACGGATCTACAGCGTGGTAACGCCAAGTTGAAGACAGCGCATATTTAATTCGCCCCCTCACTTCCCTGTACTTGTTGGTCCTGCTCAATTATTATGGATAAAACTATGGTTCACGGTTCACCTATTCGAAAAAAAATTTTCGCTGACTTTTGTATAGATCTCATATTATTTATATTTTAATTTCATTTCCGGTGAAATTTCGACTGACCAGCGTTTTCAGGATATTTTGGCTTGAAACTTTTTAACGCTCTTCGTACTTTTCAGTGTTTGCTTTTTTTCTCATGTACTTTTCCGCCTATTTCAAGAAAAAAATAAGGTGGTTGGCTTTCCTTATCTTCCACAGGAAAGAGGATTTTTTTAAAATATGCTGTTTTCAAAAACCGACCGGGATTTTTTAGGTCGCCGTGGTAAATTCCCTGTACAGTTGTAAGGCATTACTCGGCTTCTCCCTGCCTGTTTTCGCACAGACACAACTGTTAGGTGTCCTAGTTTTGTGTCTGCTCAGGGGGTAGTCGCTATTAACTACACTTGTCCAACAAAATCTGGGACCTACTGTGTCATCCAGGAATCTTCCCTTTGGGAGACCCTGCAGAATCGGAAACCAATTCGAATATGGAACAATTTTGTTTTGTTCGTTGGCACAAATATCAGTCTTTACGGTGATAAAAAGTACGAAAGAGACCCAGACGATCTGGATTTTTTGCGTAATTTTTTTGTTGATCCACCCCCTTTGCATTTTGCGAAGTGGTCACTGGTCAAATTCCAGTGACCACTTCCGGAAAAAATCCAAAAATTCCAGAAAGAGTTTATCCACCAAAACAGAGTGTTTTTCCAGTTCTCCAAACATAGCGTTACTAGTTTTAGCAAAAAGAGGGTTAAAAGTACCAAACTCTGAAATTTTAATAATTGGCAACCAACTGTCTTCAACTTGGCGTTACCACGCTGTAGTAGTAGTTCTACTACCATTCGCAGAAGCCGACCCAAGAGACGGCGGTATTTTACAATAGTTGCCTTTAGGCGATAATATTTCATACACAATCCAGACACCGCATGACTGGTTTATGCACGAAGCCGCATGGTACGCACGTCAAGAAAACTTAGCCTAAATGAAGACAGTCCAAGATAAATTATCATTCATTATTTGAAACGTAGTCTGTGCTCTGGAGTACCACTAGCGTCGATCAGACTAAATAAAATCGCGGATAGGACATAACAATAAGAAGGATCATTAGAAATGCAGTGCGAACACCAGTTTTTGCTTTCGGTTTTTTCAGAAACCGATTCTTCCTCTTTTAAAGCTCGTAAACTGTCCAGAAAGGCATTGATAGTGCCGTGTGATGAAGCGGGGAAACTTGGGAAATGTAGTCCTCTTATTAGCAACTGGCTTTTCTGTAACCGTGACTATTATTCTTATTCCGTGCTGCCAGTAGTGTCCGCTCTCTTTGGACTGTTTTTAACTGGGCTGGACACTGTGTCGGATGTCATGCTGGCTCGAAAATATTTCATACAAGGGCATGTCATCTGGGGTTCCTTGACTGTGTCATTTGTTGCTTTGCCCATTGTATTTGCCCTGGGATATCGTGTTTTATACCACAATTGTAAATGGTACGAAGTGCATCCGGTTGGACCTATTTATTGGTATGTACAATTGACCGTATGTTCAACGGTCCAAGGCAAATGGCCCGGTACAGATGCAGTATACATACTTTAAATTCGTATACAATCACTGAAACAACGAAATTCTTATACAATCACTGAAACTTTCGCCTTCGCACTCCGCAATAGGTGGTGTACAGAATTATGTTATCGTAAAGCCAAATGATTTTCATTCAACCGCTTGCCCCCAGAAAGCGGCCTAAATTATTGACTCCGGCAAGTTATAATGTCTTTAAAGATTTCAACGCATTTTGTCACAGGTTATGGGTCCGTTCTCTTTGAAATGTTGTTGTAGAAGGCACTTAAAATTACTTAATACAAAGTCAAGTCTAAATCAAGTTTAACTTGGCAATACTTTCTGAATTTTAGATAGTCAAAAATTTTAAAAATGCTCCGAAATTGGTTTTGGTTTAAATTCGATAGTTTTGGTTTATATATGTATATTTTGCAGCAAAACTTTTTAATTTCCAGAAGTTTAGATAACAATAATATATAGACAGCGTTGGGCGTTAATGGCATTGGCAGCTGATATTGAAGTAAAAATGAAGTTATGTTGTGGTATCTGTAAATCGTGTTTTACCATATGCTACTTATAAAAAATCCGTATTAAAATCATGCGCGTGCTACTTTTAAGTAATCCGTAATAAAACTACTTTGTGTTATGTTAAGACGAAGAATCCACTAGCATCTTTAAATACAAATATTTTTTACAACTACGAAATTACACTCTCTTTGATCGGGCGCTGCAGGGATACATGGTAAAGTTAGGTTATTGTTTTCGTCGGAGAAGAAAATGGTTTTGTAAAACAGAGGTTATGAAGTTGACGTACAGTAAAAACTTTTATCCGGCAAACCGTCCGGACGGTTAAACATTCCGCTGTTTGTTCTAATAAACAATAGAAAACAGTGAAATTTGCTCGGCAAATTTGTTTTTAAAATTGGGCAAAAATGTTCCCCGTTTTAGACAACGTTTGTACATTAACGAGAAGTTATACCGTGTTCGTGGTCTGAGCGGCAGAATCGCTTGTGCGCGAGGCGCACAACGTTGACAACAGAACCGTTACAGCTTATAACAACCAAAATGGTTCTACTACACATCTTAAAAAGAGAATAAAATCTTTGTATGTGTTCAAGCCAAAAAATCTGGTGTTTTGTACTTTGAATTTACAAAATGTAATAACCAATTTCACTGTTTTTGGAAAAATTCAAATTTACCGTAGAAGGGGCGTATACTAGAATAGGAAAAACTCTGAGAAGAGTTTTTGTGTTTAAAGTTTGAAATACGCCCAAAATTTGCGTTTTTGTGCACCGGAAGTCACTTTATTTTTGTGTAGCGAGTTAGGAAACAGTTATTCACAAAAGCCTCGCTAAAGTTGTTAGCAAATGATTTTTCTACACACTGATCAAATTTGAGAATTTTCGGATTCTTTGGGATTTAATTTTTGATTTTACGAATTAACTTTGTCAAATCGGTCAGTAATCAGCGAAGAACTTTCTTTGTTCTGCATTTTCCATGAAACTTTCGCTTCTGCGCCTGCAGTGCCGCCACAGTCAGTTTGCACTTATAAGGAGAGAGTGGCCACCAGTGAGCGCTCACGGATCCCTGTTATGTCTTCTCCTTTGTCTTACGGCTTTGTTATTCGTGTCCTTACTGACTACACAAAGTTTTGGTCTGTTTCCTATCACACTCGTCATTGAAATGTTATTTCAATAGTGTATCTTGTTTGCTGCCAGCTGTGGTCATTCGGCTGGACGCCTCTGACCGCAGGTGGCAGCAGGGCAGAAAGATCGCCAGTCCGCCAAATTTATCATGGGTGACAATCGAAAAAAATTGATAACTTTTTTGCGACTTGCCATACTGATCTCATATTGTTCTCGATTGTAGATAAGATAGTATTCTTGCCGTATGAGCAATTTGAAAAAATCAGTTTTTCGAAACCTGACAATGGTATAACTTCTTCTTAAGCCGTAGAAGAATGATGTCCCGAATATGCCGACATACGTTATAACTTTTCCGCACCAGTATATCTGATATAAAATCGCTCTTATTGCTCATCAGAAATAATGGCCCATTCGGAATAGTTTTGTAAACTTGTTTAAGTTTTGTTAACGCATTAACAACGTTGGTTTCCCAGATGTTTTCGGGTAAGTAATATTTATGACAAAGTCAGAAAACATAGCCTTATCGCCTATACTGCTGCATTAGAAGGCCCAGCTATGCCAATAAAGGTATTACGGTGCGCGTGACCATGTGAGCAATCACAAAGAAGAAGAGCGGAAGTGCAAAACTCGCAGCTGTGTACTGGTTTAGCACACTATGGCGTTAGTGTTGCACACTGCTATATGCGAGCGTGGATTTATCAAGCGTGATACGTGAAGCCGGTGTACCACATATCTGTAGCAGTGCCCCCCTAATGTTACAAGTAGGAAGCATCAGGGAATTATTGCACTGAAAATTAAGTTCATTAAATTAACAGAATTTAAATACAATAACACTAAGGATCGTGTTTCCAATTTGAGACCTGAAAATATTTCGGAGGACCGAAGTTTTCGGAGGACCGAAATTAATTAAATCGGAGTGGCTATTTTGTTCCAGTATTTGGTGAGAAATAAACTTTTCTCTATTTTGCCCCATATACCAGGGGAGAATAGTGTTTTGCTTTCGCACCAAATGGATTTAAATAGCTTATAGTTTTCTTATATTTTCTTGTATTCATTTTCTTATCTTTCTTACGTTGTCTAATGTTGCTTATGATTTCTAATGGCCTTGATTTCTTATGTTTGGTTTTCTTATGTTTTTGTATGTTCTCTTATGTTACATTCTTATTTTTTTCTTAGTTGTGCGGCAAAATAGCAAAAAGCTGTTTTAAACCACTACAGAATACTGGGCAAAATAGTCTTACTCTGTCTTAGCCCTAATACATAAGTTAAAGTTTTGATTCCAAAATGCACCAGCGCACAAGCATTTTATTGCTTGAGCAAAAATTTTGCTCGATGGTTAAAGCCTGCGCAATACAGAACTATTTTAGTTTGCTTAGTTTATAAAAAACTGCGATCAACGCTATTTACGGTAAGGCAGCTGGGAGCCGTTTCACAATCTGAGCCCAGGTTTGTGGAGTAAGTAAAATAATACTAGCATAGTTCTGTGCATTTGTAACCTTGCTAAAAAATGGTTTTCTAAAAGCGGAAATTTAACATTGATTGTCATCAGATTTGAATACCGGTATATTCTGGAATTATTGACGCCATTTACTTATAGCCGATTTATTTCGCGCAGTTCGCACATAGTCTACCAGTTAGAAAATAACTTTGTATTTGTGAGTTTTTAACTTTGTATCTTTTGCATTTGGTAACTGTGAGGTATACTATGACATTGCATATGAAAGACGCGATATCGTCCTTAGCGACCGCTGTCCTTACGCTGATGTCCATACGTGGCAGCAGATTTAGTTGCTATTTTATCGAGCTACGATTCACGAATAAAGCGGCACTATTCCCACATATACCACAGTAACCCATCGCTTATTTATTCCGCTCAATTTGCGTAGGGTCTACCAGTTATTTTATACAACTGCCCAACTTGGTTGCCCGGGGCTGTGTTGCAGCAAAGGAAAAAATCTTTTACCGCGCGCCTTAGTCAACTCCGTAAAGAAATCAGAAGCCCAGGTTCCAATTCGTGGGGGTTATTATTTGTTATTATCTTTTTTACCTGCTTATTCGTGCCGATTAGGTCTGGCAGGTGAGTGTTTTTACTGTGGTCAAAAGTTCAGATGCATGAATGGCGTCTATACGCAAAAACCTTATGTGTAGTTCAAAGTTCGTTCAACGTATGAGTAATTCAAAGATTGGTAATTGCGTCAATCGAGCATACTAAAGATGTGCTTGTTTTCTGTTCGTGTTTTTTGTGTAGGTCAGTGCGAATAATCCTGATAAACCTGAAACAGCGCAAATACGGACATTTCGAAACCCCTGAAGAAGCAATCAAATTCGCCCAAGCGTCAAGGGAAATGATGATATGTCAAGAGAGAAAAGATTATAGTTTTGCCGACGAAAAGTATCTGGAGTCATATCCGCAACTGGTTTTGCAAGCACATGTTGTAGCCGATTATCTTATCCCTTTTCTCACCGAAAACGCTAATATTCAGCATCTTCACTTGGAATACGCTAGTTCGGAAATCTGTATTTCCATCGTGACATCGGTACTTTCGGTGCTCAGCTACGAAGCGCTTGTGATTTTCGACAATATGGTGTCCATTAAAGTTGATACGTTGACAGTACCGAATATGCTGCGAATTGGCCGCATGATTCTTGATGCGATGTACCTGGGACCGAGGCTGATGTGCATGGTCTGTTTATTTGCAGTTGAACCGAAACACATTATTATTCCAGCATTTTGGATTGTGCATATGGCAGGTGCCTATGTTACATTATCTTTCTTACCCAAATCTCCGGAAAGCAAATACAAATTACCATACCGGTTTCGAAAACATATTCTATTAGATGCCTTTCGCGGTTACTATAGTATGCAATCGACGTGGATTAATCTTTCTCGAACGGCAGCAATAAGCATTTTGCTGCCACCTTCTCTGAGTTGGAAGGAGACATTGTTTACAGCGGCTGTATCAGAATATTTAGTCGAGCGGGGTATGCTAAAAGATGGACCAAATGTTAATGAAATGAATTACACTCGCATCATCTGGAAAACGAAATGGTTTTTATATGTTTCCCTGTTCCAGATTCTAGAGAGTTTGGTGATACTAGCGATTTGGTTGTACTGTCATTTCAACGTGATAACACTGCGTTACGAAATCGCAATACCGGTTACGATTACCTTTCTGCTGTTATTGCGGCCGTTGATGGAAATCCTCCAGACTCGTGTGTTCACTCCGGCAGATCGAGATAGGTGCTCCAGGTATACCGGTAAGACTAGTTTTGCCTTTATATAAGTGCGAGTACAAATTTGACAATGTGTCTCGCTTTACAGGTCTTATTTTTCCACATTCAATGATTTCGGTGGGAACTGACATGGTTATGACTTACCAAAAACTGCTAGAAGTGCTTCGAAATGTGGAATCGTGGTTGCACGACAACGAAAAAGAAGATCCTGACAGCAGGCGACCAATAGAAAACTTGAACAGTTTTCAGTGTTTCGGCGCACGTAAACAACTGTTGGAAGCCCTTGTCAAAATAGCGGCACTTTCTGATTTATATAAAATTGCCTCTCTTGATCAGCCGCTGGAATGGAATTCGGATCGCGTTGATGAAGTCTGTCGAGTTTTCGAATACATGCGCTTAAGCAATCAAGCCAAGGATTACTCACTCGAACTGACGAAGAATGTTCGCGTTGATTTACTCGCGGATTGGAAACTCCTTACCGAGGCAGGGCGCGTACTGGTAGCCATATGCTTTAAGCACGACGGAAGAGCTGAAACAAGCGCTCACGAGCAAATGGCGACCGACCTCGCATTTATCTTGCAATCAATAAGCCGTAAGTACATAATTTATTTTTTCTTACAATATTATAAAGTTACCAACTGTTGCAGTAACTTGGTATCTTCAACAATCATCCCGCTTACTGCTGTGAGTTAAATTACAGGCCGCACGGAAGCTTGGAGGGTTGCGATCATGACACTTTTAAATCATCAAGTTCTTGCCGCGGAATTCCACAGAGAATTATTTCTCGAAAATGTCCATTATCACCTAGGCAAGGTTTTCCAATATAATAAACTCGTAATAAAAAACGATGACGCATGGCGAGCGCAAGAAGGTATAAAGCTACCAAAATTTGATTTTACACCTAAACGGAAAGGGGATAATCAGCATCCACGCTGACCGTACTGCGTCACCGAAACGGACGGACGTCGTCGGACTACCACGTATTTCCCTCGGCACTAGTCTATGAAATCCTTAAAGTGTGCGAAGCAAGATATATTAACACAAATATTTTTGCCACTGCTCTTACACCAATGAAATGCTCTAAATAAGTTCTTTCGAGAGTGTCTCGCTTACGAGTTACGCTGCTGCTTTCCTAATTTGCTATATTACGGTCATGCATGGTTCCCTTACTCTACATGGGTATCTAAAAATTGGATTTTGTTAGCTAGTGTTATCTCTACTTTGCCACGTTTGTTCTCTGAAGTATTACTAATCAAGCGCTCAGCGCTACGTTATGTTTTTTGCTTTGCCGTTATTCAGTAGAAAGGATCCATTATATCTGATGATGCAGTGAACGATGTTTTGAATTTTTATTTTATTTGAGTTTGTACGTTCTAGCGAAACATTATTGTGTTGATTAATCCAGGAAAACCGGGTACTCGAAGGGATGTGACTACAGTTTTGCAAAATTGGCAGTCAGGGATAGAAAAATTCAATTAAGAGAAAAATGTTTTTTTTCAGAATTTTAGCGACCATAGGTCAAGCAGGAGATGCCCATGTCGGCCTAACACGCATGGTAACCATGTTGCGTCCGACATGTTATTTATTACCGTTTATAACAGCTGATAGAAAAATCGCACAGAGTATGCCAATAGCTCAAACGATAGATCTCAACGAGTGCTTGAATACACAAGCATTGCGATGGTCATCAAGATGATAAGTGGTCAAGGAAAACGTAAAAAACAAAGAAAGCACTAATATGCCCCAGTACATTAGTGCTACTTGAATATTTCTTAACAGTTGGTCACCTCTGCTCTACGTTTTGGTCATCGGCCTCAACTTGAATCACCGTTTGAATTACGTGTACAGTGGTAGAGATACTATATCGGTTGTGCAACCGAAAGGGATAGGCGAGATAAAGAACAGGAAGCATGGTTGACATAATGACCATCGTTAATAGGCTGCCGGCCGGTGGCCAATTCTTCAATGTTCCACAAAAAACCAGTTATTCAGATTCATATGGAAGTATAGTGTAGTAAGGTCAGCAAAGCTCTGCCAAAAACCTATTAAGTGTGTCTTTACAAGGCAACAAAATTCAGTATTTGGAAAGGAAAACACAATTTCTAGCCGTTATATTTACCGTTTTGCACAGATTCATTTTAAAGGTCACGAGCGTTCATGAACCGGAAGGTCCAAATAGCTCGCTTGATGCAAATGTAGAAGCTGAACAAGCAGAGCATTAACGCAAGAATAATAACTTGTGCAGGGATATCTCAGTCATGACGAGTCTAATTCACATAAAATTTCCAAAGAATGTCCGACTTTTCCCAGGAAGAACGGAGTAGCCAGGGGTCCAGGTTGCAGTATATGGCGATAATGGCGTTCCACATACAAGCACATGAACTGCACAATCTTCTGTGTGTTATATGTATTGTACAATGGACTACCGGAAGTGACTTAACGCTGGAAAATTATTATAGTCGATACAGCCGACGTTGAGTCACTTTTGCAGTCGATTGGAGATAATCAGGGTAGTATGGGAAATAATTGTTTCAGGGCCACCGAGAACAGTCATTGCATAATTTTTTGCATTTTCTTCACACGAATTATAATGGAGTTTAGTCGAAAATCACGTTTTTCGGATTTCCGGTCTGTGCTGACCAGGAATCACTTTTCTGACCACAGTGTTCAAATCAGTCAATGAAACCTTTTATGGGCTTTATTTTGATAGCTCATTGTACCGTGTACGATGCTTCTGCCAATTGATATAAATTTTTAACAAAATATAATTTATTAGTACCCTGCCCAACCGTGTCAAAAACGACATGGTATTTTCATTTGACCAGCACTGACCAGTGAGCGTTTTTCTCCGAACGTTGTTCCGGTTTTATATAGAGTTTATCAGTTACTTCTTTTGTATTTTTTTGGTAGTTATCTGATACGGATGCGGCTGTGCAGGTAAGCAGGACCTCCGAGAACTCCGTTTGGTCGGTTTTGACCATGTTTGGTCACTATCTGGACATTACGGGCATAGCGGAGCTAACTGTTATTCATTCTAAACTGTTGTCTAACATTTGTCCTTTACAATAAAACAATTAAACACTACCTACGACTATAATTACGGATTAGAGAGAAGAAGTCTTCCACCATGTCGGCTTAGCACGCATGGTGTGGAACGGGTTAAAGTTTTGGTTTATGGAGTAAATTGCTGGCCTGTGGCAGTTTGTAATTGTAATCGTCCTGACTTTTCCTGATGAGAGATACCGTAACAGTCGTAGTATGGCATCATGGGCCGTATCACAGCCACATTGAGCTCCAGTAGTGACTCAGCCAGTGCGTTTTTATACCTATTTTCGATAATCAGGCTTCTAAAAGTTCTGAAGCATTGACATTATTGGTAGTAGGCTACAAGATGTTACTGCAGCGCTAGTTTCCTGTTGCACTAACGATGACTCAAGCCATCTGTGCTCTTATCGGTAAACTCCGACCAGAAGCTTCGCTTCCTTGTCGGCTAGCATTCGGAACTCGGAAGAACATACGGGATGATTTTCTTAAGTCGACGTTATTGTGAATTGTTAACAGCATCGCGACATTTTGCCGAGGATAATTAGCCGCAGGACAATAGGTTGCGAACACTTCGCCGCAATTTTATCTCGCCCACGTATGTAACCGGCAAATACATCCGGACGGTTTTGCCGGTTACATATGTATTTCTGCTTTATTGTGGAACAAACCAGAGATTACCATGGCTTTGACGTCTAACACGCGAAATTCATAGTGTAATCGTGTCCGGAATGCGAAAAACGATAAAGTGCAGGAACTAGGTTCTTGCTGTAACTTGCAGCACAATAAGCCGGAAGGCCATTGTCTGATCAATGAGTGCCGCCGGCAGAAAGGTTTACGCATTCTGGCAGCATGGTTTACGTTTGTTTATGTTTGTTTAATGAGCCTAACGTTTACAACGATCAGGAAAAAAACCTGCACGAGGTTGCAGACTAACATACAAGATTAGCTGCCGCAGTAAAGGACAGCCACGCACAAAATTCATTGCAATATCGCACTCACAAAAAGTCATACGTGCTACTATATACATCATTTAAACGTGAAAACAAGAGATCATAATGGTCAACAAACAAATTAGTACACCCATTCTCGGACAAAAACATTAGAAGGCCAGATTTCAGGTGGGAGAATTTTTTCAGCGTCATCCTTGAATATTCCAATTCGATCAAACGACGTTGTGCGCTTATCTCCTCGAGAGGGAATAAATTAAATCTCTTAAGAGCTCGTAAGTGCCGGAGTCAATCCGGGGTCGTTCTGGTCAGGTAGTAGGTTGTTGTTGGAGACCGCCGTCTGCGGCAAATTAGGTTCACGACGTCCATATTCGGGTTTGTGTTAAATGGACATGACGAAAATTCGGTGAGGTTCGTTTTAGTCCTAAAGGGCCGTTGTCGTGTCAATTTACAATTTACGATTTACGGTGAGCTATGTCTTTTATTGACATCCCTCACATTACGGTTTCCATGTGATGCTCCTAAGAATATATTCGTATCTTCTTGAGGCCCACTGAAGCCTGTTTGGACTACCCTATAGGATCTCAACGCCGGTGCGGTTGCTTCGTCCGGTAAACCAAACTTTTTACGCGTGTACACTGACCATATCCGGAGACGGGAACAGCACGGCACAGCCGGGAACGGCAGCACAGTCGGGAACGGCAGCACAGCCGGGAACGGCAGCACAGCCGGGAACGGCAGCACAGCCGGGAACGGCACTTCATGGAAAGGCACTTCATGCAGCTCTACGGGCTTTTTCCCGCGTAGAGCTGCATAACTTCCTAAGTGGCTAACTTCGAGATAGCCGAGGGGTGCATTCTACAGGGGCAATGATATCCGCTCC